TCAAACGGTTGCTGTTTTCGCCCACGCCACTTTGCAAATACATAGTGCTGTTCGTCCAGTGCAATACCATTAGCCGACCACTTGAGCCACTTTTTGCACGGCCGTCCGGGGCCAGCAAGTGACGTTATAACTTTTATTTAATCACCCGCAACAAGGGTAAATATACTCTCAGCATTATTCATCTGAGACCAACTTTTTTCCTGGGCAGTCCCACAGTGATGTTTTCCCTCAAAGAGGAAAACTGGTTCAGCAACCTGCGATTATCGAAAATCTTGCCAACCCATCTAGCATTGCATCAGCTCCAGCACGGCAGGGCCCGTGGTCGTGTTGAATCGTCGGTTTTAGTTATGGGAATGTGACAACCTCTTATCCTGGTGCTTTCAAAGGGGGGTAGGTTGCAAACTTAGATCCCCGTGATACAGGCGGGATATGCTCAATAAACCACCCCTCGTCCGACAAACCGCGGCAGCAATACCCATAGTAAGGTGAATGGTTAAATAACTGACAGTCTCTGTCTCTAAGGTTTGTCTGAAACGGGAAAACAGCTGGCCATTTCAGACACTGGATGTACTCCACTGGGACATATGTGGAACTTGCAGAGTAATCACTCCCCATTTCCACTGCAGAACTTTTGGAGTTATCCTCGCCACAGCAAGGCGAACTACGGGGTGAAATACCAACATCTGTTGATAGTGCCGCGGCTCCAGTAGTGGAACACGTCCGCTGGCTAACACTGGGAGCTACTGGTGAACGTCATTGAGAGGCCTATTACAGGAGGCGTCCCAGTATTCACACTGATATTTGAGAGGTTGGCCCCGCGGCTGAAACGAGGCACAGAGGGCCTCTTGTACGCTGTGGCGAAAGTATGGTATAAATGAAGGTCTTGAGAAAAGTCAGATAAAAGCGAACATATGGATCCGAGGAATCGATCCGACGTTGAGCTGAGGAGAGGGCAGGAGGTGGTTCCGGGATAGCCTCCTCCAGAGGCTTGAGGCCGGCCTCAAGAAAATACGCTGCTTCATGGGGGACAGAAACTCAACTAACCAGGGAACTTGATTATGGAGGGCCCGAGCGGTGAAAACCTTTCTGGACTGAAAACTGCCGAAACGTTCGGCGTCACCTTCGACACAACCAGCCACTCCACCATCCTGAGAGAATTAACGAATGCCCGAACAACCTTCAATCCCATCCGATATAGAAGAGTTGAACGGAATATAGGCAGCCCCAGCTACGGTCCTTGAAGCGGTCTCAGGGCCCCACGAGAGAAAATAGCTTCGACCCGAAGCGAAGTACCACAAACTTGGTACGCGGCAAAAGATAACATCAGCAGCAACGTTCGCTGCTGTGAAAGCAGGCCCAGGACACTGCGACAGCAGCAAATGACAGCTCCGCCTACTGCTGAAGTCAGCATCGCTGTCAACAGAAGAGATGTACAAACAAGCCTAGACTCTATGGCAACCCCAAAAACGATTGTGGGAAAAAACGTGATTAGGCCGGTTCCATTGGAGCTGGCCGTCCTATAGCAAGTTTCGCCATCACGCACTACCCCCTTCAGTCCGCCACCACCAAGACACCCCATGTCGTTTAAAATATCCAAGCGTCTTTACGGTAATGTGGGGGGACTTGAAAGTAAGATGGGAGAATTACGATCTCTCCGTTCCTTCCTCACTCTGACGACAGCAGTACCAACAGAAACCTGGTTATCACCGGATACTGGTGACATCGAAACCAGTGTAGATGGTATGCGTCTGTTCAGGGGAAAAAGAGAGTTTAAGGAAGGAAGCGCAGCGGCGATGCTTATAAGTGATGACCTTAAAAGTGAACCAGCAACTGAAACTCTGCTTTCAGAGCCCGCAGACTCCATCTGGTGTCAATTTAAGGTTGGGCACACCAAGTACCTGGTAGGGGGCGTCTATAGAACTCCTACTAGCAACGTGAAGATAACCGACAACCGCTGCAAGTAACGTCCGGAGTGACCACCATTGGATATGGCCGGGTCATCATAGCCAGCAACTTTGATGCTCCTACTCTCAATCTTGTGCGGGACAGGGGAACCCCAAGCCAAAGGTTCGACCAAGACCTGCTCAACACTGTCAAAAAGGCTGGACTGCACGAGAATATTGGTGAGGACACTCGCTGGGGGTCGGGCGGAAAGCCACATGAACTGGGCTAATCCTTTACCAGTGACCACCTGCCGGTAGAGAAAATGAAGAGGTTCAAACCACCCTCGGCAGCAGCGATTACGGCCTGGTTGCGTTCGATCTGGTACCCAGCTAACAACCGTCATGGGAGGGATCTCACCCTTGTCTTTGTTACAGCAAGGCAAACTATGTGGCAATAAATCAATACCTGTCGACAGAACCATGGCCTCAGGAGTGGAGCAACCTATCGACTAATCAACATTGGGAACTAGTTAGAGATACCATCAGGAGAGCTACCTCTGAAAACGTCCCTGTAATCACAGCAATACTGCAGAAGCGAACCTCATGACTAAAGCGAGGCACCGAACTCCTTTTGAAAGCCTAGAGGAAAGCGTAGCATAAGTGGAGGACATTCAGAAAAGTCTGACAGCGCAATTGTGGCCCTAAGGAATCGATGTAACATCAGAGTGAGGGGAGAGGCGAACCCCAAAACCCATATAGATTTATGGCAGGCAGAAAATCCACCAGCCGGGGTGCTTGCGTTCTGAAAGGCCTAGACGGAGAGAACCTCGCCAAAATAGGGACCACCGAGGTCATTAGTGCCACCTTCGAAAAGCAACCGAATACGCCTCTACAGAAACAAAATTGCCAGCTGTCTGATCAACATTCAGCACCACCAAATCCAGTAGAGTTGCCTGGAATAAAGATAATTCCTGCTATGGCCCTCGAAAAACTATCAAAGCTCCGCGCAGGGAAACCACCGGGGTGCGATAACATCCGACTGGCTGTGTTGAAACAATGTTCAGGTGCCTTTTCTGTCCGCTGTGCAATCTGTTTCAACACTCCTTAGACAATTACATTCTCCCATGTGAGCAGAGAAGTGCTATTCTGTCCCCCATTTTCAAAGAAGGAGACGGGCGGAACCCAAAATGCTACCGACCCACAGCCCTTCTACCAGTGTTGTCAAAAATAATTTACAGCCTGGTAGACCACCATTTCAGGAGGTACTTAGAAAAGAGGGGAGCACTTAGTGACGCTCAACATGGTTTCCCATAAGGGTAGATTCTGTGCCTCAAACATTCTGGCTGCAGGTGATAAGTGAACGGCATGCTGGGATCTCGAAATTCCTGTTCACGTCATTTTTCCGGATTCTGCTAGGGCCCAGACACAGTCCCGCACACCATTCCCATTCGCAAGGTATCAACGTTGGGTATCAAGGGTCAAGTGCTCTCCTGGCTGCGGAACTATTTCGATGGCAGAGAGTTCCGCACAAAAGCCGACAGGGTTTGGTCGACTTGGAGGGCATCGTCATCTGGCGTATCACAAAGGGCGATTCTGGGTTCGCTGGTATTCATGTTTGTGAACAACCTTCCACTGAATCTCAGCTCCCCAATTCTACTCTACGCTGGTGATGTTAAGTTATGGAGAGCTATGATGTCGGAAACAGAATCAAGTGCACTGCAAAGTGACCTCAGATCACTTGCAGAGTGAGGGGATATTATTGGATTAGCATCAAGTCTGGATAAGTGCCAAACCATGTTTCTCCGCGCCCCCTACTCTCAGAAGGTACCCTATTCTCCCTGTGGAACACAACTTTCCCACACCATAATGGAAAAAGACCAATGACGGATACTGACTGACAAAGTAGACAATAGCCCCAATTATCTAGGAGATGCCCCAAGAACCTACACGGTGCCGCACTTCATGCGCAGACAACTGGGTGCTCTGCCCCCGGAACTGTTTTTGAAGCTATATAAGACGTGTATACGGACTCACCTAAAGATACACAAAGTCATTGCACCACCATATCCGGAAATAGACATGAACCTCCTCAAAAAAGTCCAAAGGCGAGCTACAAGGGGTGTCGTAGGAATGAGGAGAAAACCATATCAGGACAGGCTGACAGATCTAGGACTCTATTCTGTAAGCCACCGTAGATTACTTGTTGACTTGGCAACGGCTCACAAGATACTAAGTAACACAAGTCATCCGAACAGTGGAATCCTACCGAACAGCCACTCTGGCGATCCTCATGGTAACCCTGAGAGAATCGCTCACCAAAGAGCGAAAACCCGTATGCGATCACGCTTCTCCTCTCTGTGAGTTTGCGGCCACTGGAGTGCATTGCCTGCTGAGATTGCTACTGCTCCGTCTGTTGACGTCTTCAAAAAGAGGCTGGACTGTTACGCAGCGACGCACGGTTTGCGCTCATCCGACTGGGGTGTGGACTAGGCTGCCATGACTCAATAACTCGGAACGGCCAACCGTTACTGAACACTTTGTAACACCATTATCACTGGGAACCGTATACCTTCCCATGGACGTCCCCTCCAGTTGCCGCCTCCCGCCAAGAGAATTACCACATTCTCACTCGTCCTATCATGTTATTTATTCTTCTTCCTTCTGACCTAACGTTCTCAAACTTCGACAAAAGCTCTCCCTATCACCTCTCCTCCATGAACCTACCAATATTTCTTCTTCCGCGCCTTTTCCTTGTCTTCATTTTCTGTGCTCTTTCTCTCCCTTGATTTCTCTGCACATATTTTTCATCTCTTTTTTAAAACCAGTCCGACCATTTGCCTTTTGGCACAGCGCCTGAGGAATCCATCTGCACCACGTTTTTTGGAAGAAAAACAAACAACACTCCCTACAAATTTAACCAACACCCAGCCACCCGTCAGGCTAACCAGAGCTGCAGCAGTCGAGTGGGTAGACCTACTTCATCGGAATCAACCAAAGATCTGAAACCATTCCGCAAGACCTAGAAGCGAGCGGGAAGAATCAGTTAGTTTACACTACCTCGTTAAAAGATATTGGATAGACTATGTTGTTAAAAGGTATTGGTACTAAGGATACCATGGTAGCGACCTTGAGGAACACGATAAAGTTGTGGCATGTCAACTGTAGATATTAATGATACCTGCCAATGTAAACGGCATGACGATAAGCATTCAACATATGACATGTGCACTGATGGGGATGATTTGAGCAAACGTCCATTTGGTATTCCCGTTGGTGCTAAGACATCAGAATACTATCGAACTGACGAGAATCTACCAGGTCGTTTCAACAACCCAGGTGAATTTTTCTTTTCTTTTTTTTATTGTAGCAGATAAGTTTGGCGGTTATGAAGGCCAAAAACGCAATCCACTATACAGGACAACCAACTCAGAGTATGGTAGACTGAAACCAAATGTGCATACAATGAACGTTGTGTACCATAGCAAAAAACAAGATTTTTCAAAGGTATTGTGGTGACTTCATGCATTGTTTTTAGAGGTATATAAAAGCCGGAAATTATAGAAATCACTCCTTAAATACTGCTCTCGATCACAAGTACATATGATACTTACCTCCTGTTACAAACTTGGATATGTTCACTGGCATTAAGTTCTGGATGTAATATGTATTCATCGAAAAGAAGTTATCATTAGTTAGTAATCGCGAAGAATCCTAAGTTTTAAACAGTGAACTTAAAGAACACTGAGTCAGTTTATGATAGACTAAGAAACCATTTTTAAGACTTAATTATTGATTAATGTTTTCTAGTTGTTGTTTTTCTATGTCATAATTTCACTAAAGGCACATTGCAAAACAATCAAAAGTGCCTACTATCACGAATAAGACCTTCGAATATATCCATCCTGATGAAAATATTTTAAACGTGTAATGCTGACTTGTATGATATTAGTGTAGAAGGCTGTATCATAAAAATACATACAGTAAAACCTGTATCCCAAATTGTCTTTTGAGATCTTCATTAGTGCAGCACAGAGTTTGGTTCCTAGGCATATTTTAACAGCATCTGTAAAGGAACTTGGCTTCTTTATTTTATATTGTCTGGCTTATACTGATTTGTATAATTTCAGGCTGTTACAAAATCAAGAGCCATAAGTAGATCATGTCTTCTCAGCTGCTTTACAGTCTGTTTATATATCTAGTTTTCAGACTACAAGGAAAAAAATGTCCAAAAAAATCTCATCGCCAAAAGTTAACCTTGGAAAAGCACAAAAGACTCTCACGGCATCCAAAGGAGTGCGAGTGTACAAAAAGAATCTAGCCATGAAACCTAAATGTGAGGGTTTAGAAACTGTCAGTTTTCTATACTTGTCTAAAAAATTGCTAGACTTTGAACTGGTAGGCAGAAAAGCTAGTCCAAATTAAAAGCAGGAACAAAAGAACGGAAAAAGATAAACAGTGATCAACAGTCTAGGGACCTCTTTTTTTCTCATCTGGGGGCTCTGACAAAATCCTTACTATTATTATTGGTACTATGGGAGCACTTAGGTCAGAAGTCGAATGTATTTCGTGAGAAACTACGACAGTTTCACAGCCTCATAAACACAAAAGTAGAAAACTAAAGCTGTGAATTCCTAGGGTAATAGGCACTTTGAGACAGACTTTTAAAGCTTCTCGATTACTTTTAAAACTGGATAAATTGAAGAAGACTGACCTACTATCCCTTGTCGAAAAAAAGTAAATCTTTATGTGAAAAAATTATCTCAACACCTTTTGCCACGTTATGTATTCGTTTTACTTATTGCTATTTTTAAAATGATAATTAACCAGAAAATGTTTAGCCCACTTGGTTTATAGATACAGTAAACTAACAGGTAGTTTCATGGCTGGCACTACTGTTAAAGTACCGCGAGCCTTTAAGATTTCGTTGGCTATTACAAAGTAAGGTAGCGGAGCTTTTCTTTACCTGCGTACCAGTGATCAGTGTTTGGCAAAATAATCCAAATAAATATAGAGTCCCAATCACATATGAGGAACACCGGAGAATGAATAGCTGATATGAAAGCCTGGATTTATTTTTCTAGCTTGTTTGTATACATCAGTAAGTTGTTTCTATAACAGGTAGGAATCTTCTATTTTCTTCGAGACTTTAGCTTGTTTCACTCAGCGTCCTGTCCTGCCATCGATTCCGCGTGAAACTGAATTATTATGTAACCAAACGAAATGCATTTGGATGTCATTTCGTCAAGTATAGTGGTCATACTGTAAACTTGGTAGATAGAGTCTGGTCGTAACTAAAGGTAAAACAATACGAGATTGGCTAAGTTTTAGTCACTAGTCATTGTAGTGTTGACGAGTAGATTTAAGTACAGTTCCCAAGCATTCACACTTTATAAGATATCTCAAAATATAAAAGTTAAGACAGTCAGAAAATGAGTGACTGAGAAGAGTAACTCTTCGCTGAAATTGCTTTGTTTTGTGACTTAGCGTGGATTTTCAAATTACTTAGAAGCTAACAGTTTAGAGTTCTGTATTGTTGCTTGTATTATACCGTCGTTAATTGGACCGAATTGATCGGTCTCTATTGGCATACAGCCTTCTGTGCGGTTGCCTCGATATTACCCGTGTTTTAGTTACAGTAATGATAGATAGTGGCTAGCAGTGGAACTCAGAATGTGCATTTCATTCTGTTGGGAACTCATCAGGTGGATGTACCTGCCCCCCAGTGAGTTATGTTGTTCCCACCTCCTACACATCATTACTGCAACTAAAACAGAGGTAATATCGAGGCATCCAAACAGGAGCCCATATGCCAATACATATCGACCAATTCGGTTCAATCAGCGACGGTATAATACAAGCAGCAGTCCTAAAGCTGTACCAGTCGCACAAGAAATGGCTATCATGGCTCGGTGGTGTAGTGGATAGCGCTCTGGCATTTGAAGCGATCGCACTAGAGTCCGAATCCCGGTGGGAACGACATCACTCACTGGAAGGCAGGTACATCCAGTTGATGAGTCCCAAATAGAACGAGATGCGCATCTTCGATTCCACTGCTAGCCATCATTACTAGATAAGAGTTTAATTTCAGTTAGAAGTACAGCAAAACCAGTAATTTTAAAGGCCAATAATCAATGAGGTTGTTTTTGTTCATCAAACAAAAGGGACCTATTTAGCTGTTTCCCTATTGATTAGGGTAGTGTTTACAGTCACTTAGTTAAGAAGGCCTAACTAACTGCTTTTACAAATGAAACAAATCCTACATTCTCACCAATAACTGTACAGTAATGGAATTGTACAGCTTAGTGGATGAAATCGCCAAAATAATCTTTTCTCTGAACCACTTGTTTTCCTTTTCCTATATATCTATATGGGAATTTTTTGAGAACCTAGTGTTAAGAGTCAAGCATACGCGTTTTTTTTTTATTAATTCATAGTACTCACCTGAAAAGTAGAATATACATACGCTTTAAGGCTTACAATATTGTTGATTTTGACGTGAAATCATTTTGTAATAACTAAAGTGTTTCAAAAATGTCATAGTTCATTGAACAGATTTGAACAATGACATTTACAGAATAAAATGACCTCATTTTATCCCACGACCTTTCATCAGCTGCATGCACCCTACAAGTGAAATGAAGTAATAGTAGTAATAAATTCGTAGAAATAAATGGAGATTTGAAATCCAGTATCAAAAATAAAGTAATGAGTCAAGGGAATACAGGAATAATAATCACAAATCTTAGTCAAAATCAATGGCAATTTATATCTGAGGCAGAAAATTCTGGAGCTGTGGAGTGAGGGGGAACAAAATAAAATCATTGTTAAAGAAGGGACTATTCTAGAGCTAGTAAGTTACGTAATTACATGAAAAACTGGTTAATCTTTAAGTAGTTAACAGTCAGTAAGTAATTGATGAGCAGATGATGCAATCAAAGGAGAAGGGAAGACTATATACACACACATGCAAGAAATTATATACAGTTATCACGGTAAAGAAAGGTTAATTACAGTCTCTTTCTGAGTATATAGGTCAGGTTGAAAATACAGTCTGGGGTTTGTGGGGATTTATTGATTTCAAGCTGGTATTCATCGTGGACTAACATCAGTTGAAGGAAGATTCAGATAGCTATTTCGTCCCTCTATGGGACTCCTCAGCAGTGCACACCCATGACCTTCTCACGGATTGGACCTAAAACCTTCAAGTTCCACAGCTAGCATATTACCATTGAGCCACTGGGTCAAAATCCACTGGTCCACATTCTTTACTAATGTCAGTTCACAACATAGCTTGACCATCACCAAACTTCTCATCGAAAATTGAGAAATCACCTCTCAAAGCTGGTCACCGCCAAACCTGGTGATCATGAGGACAAATACTCAACCATGACATTAGGTGGCGGTCGTGCTACGTTATGAACTGACAGAAGTAATAAATGTGGACCAGTGGATTCCTACCCAGTGGCTCAATGGTAACGTGATGGCCATGGGACCTGAAGGTCCTGGGTGCATACTGATGAGGAGTCGCATACTAGGACGAAACAGCTGTTCAGTGCTCCTAGGTTTCCAACGTTCCTCCAACTGATGTCAGTTCATGATGAGTACCAACAGGTTGAAAATGTTCGGTGGCGAGAGCTGCAAACCGTTATGAACATGCTGTTCTTTGTTTGTCTGTTATCCTGAAGGATTAAGAAACATCTATATGATATCCTTTTTCCATCAGGTATCTAGAGATTCAGCTGGTAAATACACTGCTATCTTTCAGACACGGATTTCTCGGAATATGCTCATAAGTCAGAATGAATTATGTGAAGTTAGACTATAAAATTACAAAGGATTAATTTTCAAGTATTTGAATGCAGTAGTTTCCATTATTCTCATTACAAGCGTTTATGTTTAAAGTACTTTACGACAAGTAGTCTAGAAGCAAAACTAAATATCTTAAACCGTTTATTCTAAACGGAACCTATCTACAGTTGGACGAGACGAACCATTAATTCATAAACTTTTTATCAGGAATCTTGTTGGCACAGCATAATAAATGGCTTTTTTTAGGCTAAAGTACGCCTCATTATCATTATGTAAGCACCACTATCAACGAAGAAGGTTTGGGTAAGTAGTCAAGTGAAATTCAAACATAAACAGTTAAAGCGACACTCGAACTATGAATAAATAACAACTGGTCACCTATAGTCCCTTAGGCGTCATTGAACTATGAAATATCGGGAGATAAACACAAGCTTGTGACTGCAAGAACAATCATGTTAACTATACACAAGTATTATTTTTCCCCTTAGATTCCTAGTGGAACATAGGGCTTCAGTAGCACGTCTTCATCGCACTCTCTACTCTGCAGTCTTTTGAACCTCGCCCCATCACTGCCCACAAGCTTTCATTTCTTCCTCACATGATCTCCTCCATGTCACCCTCGTCTCGACCCCCAACTCGTCGTTTCCCCTTCGGATTCCACTCGAGGACCTGGCGCGTGATGTCTCCAATCAGCCTTCTCAGTGTATGCCCAATCCATCTACACTTTCTTCTGTATATTTATTAGGCGATGGGTTCTTGTTTGCTCCGTTTCCAGCCAGTGTTCCTTGTTGCTTATTCTTTATGGCCATCTGATCTTCAGTATGGAGTGAACGTAGGTGGCAGCTGTTGATGAACGTCTATAGTTTGTTGGAAGTGCTTTTCGTGACGCATCAAGTCTCTGGCCCATATAGCAGCACTGATGACGTTGGTGTACTATACACAAGTACAGATTAAAAATTGAGGCTCTAAAATTTTTAGCTCATTGGTCAATGACTTGAAATGTTAATTTCTATTCTTAGCCACAACTAATCTTATTTTGCAATTTCACTGCTTTGAATTTTCACTAGTCTTCATAAGTTATCAACTTATAAAGATGATGAACAGTAAACTGTTATGAAGAGTGATTTTTCACTGTTTTACTTTACCTCATGTGTCTCAGAATCCTTTTTAGATTTCTACAAATGGTA